TACTAAATGACTGTTCAGTAGGCAGCATGTACAATGCGGACACTCTGAGAAAAGGGTGATGTATGTCTAGACAGGATGGAGCTACACAGTGTGATTTTTATCCCTGTACTCGGAATGGCATGCCAACTTAAAACATATGAAATGTTAGTTTGAGGAACTTTGCATCTAATATTTTTGGGCCATGGCTTACCAAGAGTAAGTGAAATTGCAAAAGGCAATACTGTATATGTACTTGAATTGGTATTTGTCAAAAGTAGAAAGGCACTTTGGTGGAGAAAGGATTGCCTTTTTCAGTAAGTGCTGCTGTTAACTGGATAGGTAGTTTTAAAAAATGAGTCCTGACCTGTGTACTTCATATCTTGTACAAAACTAAACCATAGACTTAGCTATAAAATTATAAAGCTTTGTATAAACAAGAACAAGAGATAAATCCTTGTGACTTGAAGTTGGACAAAGTATAAAGACTTGTTCTGTGAAAATACTAAGAGGATAGAAAAGCCAGGGAAAATGTCATTTGTAAATAATATATTTCACAAAGTTAAGTGTTGAGAACCTTTTTTTTGTGTTTTTTTCTTTTAAAAAAGCTCTTCAATCTCTAGTTTAAAGAAAACCAAAGAAATCCCCCCTACCCCAATAAAATAGGCAGAAGATGTGAAAATATGTTAGTAAAATGCAGAATACGGTTTGCCAATACACCAAATCTATTAAAGGGACTTAAGCCCAGACCAACCTTGTGGACATCGGGTGCTGGGAGGAAGTCGGTGAGTTGGACACTCAGCCATTGTTGGGGGAATGTGAAAGGCGATTGACTCTTGTAGAAAACAGCTCTTGTAGTTAAACACATACTTAATCATTGAACCCAGTCCCTTTGTTGTTTTATGCTTTTTGTATTGAGATGGGGTCTCACTTTTGCCTGGGCTTAGCTTCAAGCTGATGATCCTCCTGCCTCGACTCCTTAGTAGTTAGGTTTACAAGTGTGGGCCACACATCCTGCTTAGAATAAAACAGTCTTATTCCCAGGTGTTTACTCAAGATGAAGAAAAATCTTTATACAAAGGCTATACAAAAGCTTTATATGAAACGTTATTTAAAAAATAAACTAGAAAAATAAACGATGGCACATCCCCATGGTATATTACTCAGCAATAAAAAAGACCAAGCAGGATACACACAGCCATTTATTTACCCACTTCCGGGCATCCTCCTGATTGAATTGCATTGTATAATATGTAGACAGACTCAAAGGCTACCCACTGATTCCATTTATATGGCATTCCGATAAGGATAAAATTATAGGGAAAGGATTCTTGCTGAGACTTCGGGTATGTGGATGTTTGATTTTACTGTGATAGCACAAGAAATCTGTATGGTGAATATTAGAGGCAGAGGGGCTGCATTTGTCAAAACTCATTTGTACGCCAGAAAGAATAGGTTTTACTCCATTTAAATTCTAACTTCGATTATAAAAACGTAAAATACTCAGAAGTCCTCTTTTTCCCCAATTATTAAATTTTACTTTGATCTATGCCGTGGAGCGATGCACAGTTGCTACATCTGCATAGTGGCAGTGCACAAGCTAGCAGTCCTGCACTGTTCTTCCCAAATCCATATTCAAGACAGTCCTGGCTAGGACTCTGGTTTGGCCACAGGATTTGCACTAGAGAACTGGAAGATGCTGCAGATCAAGGCTTAACCTTTGTCCTCTTGATGGTGTAAACTTAAGAAAATGCTGAAGATCTTAATGCCAGTTCAATCTAAAAGCATGCTGGCTTGTAGCAAAAACATCTTCAGCAATACAGAAACCAGAGGGAATTGTCTTAGAGAATTTGAGTTATGTCTGATCCAGTCATTCACTGACCCATAGGTAAGTTCTGTTTATTTCCCTTTCATCTCCCTAAGGTGAACAAATCATCAAGCAGCATTCACCTAAAACTACTCTAAGTCAGCTGCAACTATCTATTAGGTATAGATACTAGACAGCAGCAGAACACTGAAGGCTCCTGGAAGATCAATTGGCAAGGTGGACTTTGCAGTAGAGTATCGCATACTTTAATATTATTTGTAAATTGTGTGCTACAAGTCCTTTCCTGCATGGTGAAGGACCGTGGGTGTGGCTGTGTGTCCTCTCAGCCCTGCAGAGCCAGCTGTTAAGCATTTACCAGCAGCACTGCATGACAGACAGGGAAAAGGAGAAACAGAACTGAGTGCTAGCCCAAGCTGGCACCCCAGATCACAAGAACAATGAACTGGGCAAGTCCCAGTGAAGGGTTAAGAGAGCATGGAGAACTGGAGCAAGTGCACCAAGGATGGAGGGAGTGGCCACCAGCAACTCACGCTGCTAAAGGCCCTGGATGGGGCAGAAGGGATACTGGGCTCTGGGGCATTAGGAGGACTCAGCTCTGAAGCTGGTACACTTTGACATGTCCGGTCCACTTGCTGATGGGTGACTTGCTTCAGCTGGAAGGCTCACAGGCAGTGGAGACAAGATGGGGTGATGTGGATTATCAGGCATGGACTTGGCCGGTGCATGTGGCAGGCAGCTCCTTCTCACTTCTTTCTTGAGCAGATTGGGCTGCAAGCTGTGAGCATAAGGACTGCAGAGGTAGGCTGGGGCTAAGAGATGGTAGACTGGATGGGATGGAAACTGGGGGGTTGCTGGGGTGCAGGGCAGTGAAACAGCTCAGGCTTGGGGAATAGAAGTTAACACAGTATGTTAAACTGGTGGAAATAAAAGCCACAAGAATGTTGGTCCCTAAGAGTTAGCTAAGAGGAGGGACTAAGTAAAGGGAGGAAGCTGGGAAAGGTTGCCCGAGAGCATCCCAGGTTATCTCTTGGTGTCTTCAGTGTGCAAGTGTCTTATACCTTGGCCATCCAGTGGTGAATCGAAGACTACAGCTCTTGTAGATAATAAAAATGTAGTGCCCAATGCACTACCAAGAGGGCAGTTAAAGCTGGTCGCTCATGTTAATCCTAGCTACTTAAGAAGCAGAGGGAGGGAGGATCAAGGAATGAAGGCAGCCCATGAGGTCCTCAAGCAATAAAAAAGTGGTAACATGCCCTGGTCATCCCAGCAATGCGGGAAGCATAAACAGGGTTAGTCTAGAAAATGTGAAACTGTATTTGGTGAGAGAAAAGACAAGAAGGGACAAGAAGCTACAGAAATTGAGGCCTTGGGCTTTACTGAGGGATGTAGAAGCCACTGGAAAGTTCAAGCTCAGGGAGGGATGCAAACTGACTTGTGACAGAGGAATTACTTAAGCTGCTGTTAAAAAAGGCATGCTAACTAGTGGTCCACTTCCTAGAACTAGGCTGCTTAGGCCCCTGTTACCAATAGAGTACAGATCAGGTGGCGGTCAGTGTCAGTACTGAGGCTTGAACTCAGAGCCTTCTGCTGTTGCTTGACTTTTCTCAAGGCTGCTACTCTACCAACTTGAGCTACATCTGTACTCCTGGGTTTTTCCTGATAGAGAAAAGAACCTTTAGGCTTTATCTGCCTGGGCTGGCTTTGAACAGCAATCTTCAGTTCTCAACTTTCTGAGTAGTTAGGATTACAGGCTTGAGACAATGGCACCAAGATCATGTTTTAAAAGAATTCTGTCTCTCCCATTTGGCTGCTGCTATCTTTGATCTTTCAGATTTGGGGAAGCCAGCTACTGTGCTGTGAGCTGCTCTGTGCAAAAGCTGATGCCTTCTGCCAATGGATGGCGCTGACGAGCTTGGACATAGATTCTGACGTCAAACTTTCAGGACCACAGCGTTCCTTAGCTGCAACTTTCAGAGCAAGCTAGCTAAGTAAGCTATTCCTAGATTCTTGACCTATAGAAACTTCAGTAGAGAAGTGGAGCTGTTGCTCAATGGTAGAGAGCAAAAAAGCTCAAGGACAGTGCCCAGGCCCTGAGTTAGAGCCCTATGACCAACACAAGAAAAACCAAACTGAAGCCATGTTTGTTTTAGCTACTGGGTTTGGGGTTGAGACCTTGCATACCTTTTAAAGGCAATTTTGGTTGGTATTTGGCCAGAAAAATGAGGTGATTGGTAGTGCCAAGTACCAGTGGGGAAATGGAGAAGGGCTTTGGATGTGGGTGGAAGAGGTGGCAAGTGCCCTTTGCATAGGCAAAGCATGCAAGTGGAGACTTAGGAGGCAGGTACAAAAGCTTGAGTTCTAGGGACAAGCCAGCATTTGGACCATGTAAAGGCAGGAGTATGGCTGGGATCAGAGGCGAACACTGGTCCAGAAGAGACATCAGTGCATGACAGGTGAAAAGGACACCACCCCCAACCAGAAAACCAGTGAGGTACTTTTAGGTGGGCATGCCTTACCAGGCCTCTCATTGAAAATGTTGATAAGATGGTACCTAAAGAAAAGCCAACAAGCTCTGTTTGGCAGTGGAGAAGGTTTGACTAGGGAAACAGTAAGACAAGTGCTGACTAGAATGGCAAAGAGAGGAAGTCAGGACAATGACTGGCTATTCTGTTAGGGCTCTCTGCTGAAGATGATGATGATTGCTCAGAAGGGACAAGGGGTTAAAAATAGGTCTTATTCCTAACGCCTTGCCTGAATGATGATAGGAATGATGGAGAAAGGCAAGTCAGGTATGCCCTCTTCGTCTCCCATAACACAGAAGATTGAGGGAAGCCAACTTTTTTACATCGAAGTAGAGGTGTGCAGACTGGGAAATTCAACAGATTAATGCTCTTCCTGGTCAGTTGGCATGAGCTGTGCATCCCTAGAGCCACAGGCATAGCCTCCCTCAGTGGGCAGCAGCCCTGGGAGAATGCAGAGCAAGGCAAACATTATGCTAAGCCTTATGTGTTCTCCCCACCTCCTCACCACAGTACTTGGGATGGATTCCAAGGGCTTCATGCAGGTGTGCTACCAAGCCCCAAATCCTTTGGTTTATATTGAGACTGGGTCTCACTAATTTTGACTGGGGTTGAAACTACAATTCACACGTCCCTGGCACCATGTCCAGATATGACTCATCTTAAAGGCAAATGACTTGATTTCATGAAGTGGACTTTATTGGGAAAAGTTAGTGTAAAAAAAACATTCAAATTCATAAAATTTAAATAAGACAGTAAAATTATACCTTGTAGCTATAGCAATCACAAATAAGGTAAAGGCTAAATTATTGCCTAAGCAAACACTATTCTGTCAGGCTTCTGCTGGGAGCCCAAAGCAGGAAACATGGCAATTATTACAAGTGAGCCCAATGATAAATTTGCATTTGAAGCTACAAGAAAGGGGGAAAAAAAGCAAGTTTATTAATGGCCTGCGGCAGAGCACATTAGTAATTGTAGCCATGCATTATAATTTCCATTTCATAAAGAGAATAATCAGTTTTTTCATGATACATTATGTTTTATTGTTTATATGGTTTATTCCTCAGAAGAGCTTTCTCGTAAATTCCTTCCATAGAGCCTGTTTCCCCAGGCTGCTCACCAGGGGGTCGCCTTGGTCATTTACTACCACACTGCAATCCCCACTTCCCAAACCTTCACCTTCTCTAGAAAACAAGTATCCAACTTAGTCAAGAGTATTAATTGCTAAGAAGTTAATGTGGTTTTCTCTTTGGTTATGATTTTTTTTATACTTGAGCTTATAAAAATATAACTAGGAATATGCTTCTGATTTCTATAAAAGCATTTTTTGACCAATTTAAAATACAAACATTGTCCTTATAAAACTTATCACCTTGGTTCAAAACTCTGCCTTTTCCCCTGGGGAATCTAACATCAGTGTTCTCTACTTAGCAAATACACATGAGTGAAGAACAGCGTCTAATCTTCAGGGGCGAGGGCAGGCCTAGATGCTCTCCATGGCTTTGAACTCGCTAAGTGCCTGCACGGGGTTCACATGCTTCTTCTGAGATGCTCGTTTGATCTTGGTCTGTGTCTCATCCTGTTTTTCTCTCTTCACCAAGGGCTTCTTTTCAGGTGCCTTCATCTTCCACGACACAGCAGGAAGGTTGAGGGAAGCCATACCCTGAGATTTCTGGTATTTGGTAGAGGCCACATAGGATGCCTTCACTGTCTGCACCACAGCATTCATCAAGTTCTTGGCTGCTTGGATCAGAGACATAGCGCTGTCCACCTGTAAGAGATGCAGATGAGGGTTGGTGAGGAGCCTGCCTTCAGGACTAGGGGCCTGAGCAACAGCCTTGTTAATGGAAACATCCTCATCTGGCACACAACTGAGTCTCCTCCATGATGTAGCAGATTTAAGCAAATGGTGGTGCCAATATGCTTAGTATATAAATAAATATTTAAAGTATTTTTCAAGGAAATTCCATGAGATTAACAAACTGTGGAACCTTGTAGAGTCCAATATATTGACAAAAGTGCCCACCCGGAACTGTGACTTGATCAACAGATTCAACTTAGGCACTTAGAAAGTAAGATAGTTTTGAGAAGGCAACTTATATCTGCTTTGTAAATCTTTCAGGGTTCATTCCTCTCAGGGGAAGAAAAGCTAGCAAAGGAAGGATCAATCCTAGTAACAGCTGCAGCTGTCACCAATCATGACATGCTAAAACGAGCTGTGATTCAGCATGAAGAAACAATACAGCCTGTTCCCTCCAGAGCCCAAGATGGACCTTTGGAGTATCTACCCAGCATTTTCCCCATTTGGAGCAGTTGAGTAAGTAGACAAGAGGCTACTTTCTTGTAGATGCAGGTCAACACATTCCTACTGAACACCTTTGTCACCGCAGATGCTTACCCCAGAGACGACAAGTTCTCCTCCAAGGTTTTGCACCTCAGCCTTGACTTTACTGCAGATGTTGAGCTGATGGCAGTAGAGGGAGATGCGCTGCAGGTAGGCTAGAAGATCCTGCTTACAGGCTGAGTCCGGGCACTGTTGGGAGAACAAGCACTCAGGCCTGGCCCAGACAACCCTCTGTCCCCAGGGATATGCCTGAAAAGATCTGTGTTGCGCTAATATTCTTACTCTCGGAACCAATGATAATGGAAATGAATAATTTCCTGAGGCTATCACATCTCTTGGCCACTCTGGAGTTGGCTGCAAGTCATGGAGCCTGACTATGAATACTCTCTGAGCCCTGCTGCCACTCCACAAGTGTGACGAGAAATCACCTCAGACTACGTAGCATGGAGAGGCCTGGGGCTCTGCAAGATAAGAAAAAGCCTTAGGAAGCAAGAGTCTGACTATGCAGAAAAGACAGAATGTTTAGAGCTACATAAACTATCCATCCTTGAGGCAGAAGAGCTATCTGCTCAGTTATGATGCATATGAAAAATACCTGAAAACAGGAAAGACACCTTAGGCAATGGCGAACACATAAACCAAAGCAAGAAAAAAACACCTGGGGCTGGTGAGATCTTGATCACAAGTGAAAAGGGTAGTCTAGGCCAAGTCTTGTACTGCTGATGCCCACCAGTTTAGAAAGCTTTACTCAGACAAGTAAGTTCAGTATTGTCCCAGTGTTCACAACAATTCCCCTCCCACCCCTATGTCAGGGAGACTAACAGTATGATATAAAATAGGGCTCTGAGTCCATTTTGAAGTTTTTGGATTATACTCTTAAGAAGCCAATGAAGCAGAGCCAGCCCAAGTCTGATTTGCATTTTATGAGGACTGCTGGCTGTGTGCGGAAGTGGAGGGGGGGAGAAGCAGGAAACCAGGAGGGTAGCAGGGTGGGGATCTGGACTTGAGCTGTTTATTTCCAACAGGAAAATCCAGATAGTGTAAGTATATAGAGAGCTTCTTATGGAGCTCTGTGAATGGGGGGAGGGTGATCAAAACGACCACAGAGCCTGGCTTGAATAATGATGAGATACAAGAGACAGTGGTCATTCATCCTTAAGCCTAGATAAGAACCTGGATACATGTACAGAAAACCTATAACTGAGAAAGAGCTTCTCTGGCAACAAGTCTTAGAACATATAGGAAATGTGCTGTATAAAAGGTCTAGGAAGTAGAAAATCAAGTTCTCTGACCTAACCATTTGAGGGTACGAAGGTATGCTAAGATGTGGACGGCTATCCTTCACCTTGGACACTACCAGCTTTTCTGAACACTGCCCAAAAGGGCTCTTGAAGAGGGACGCATGTACCTGGGTCCAGTACTAGGATTGGCAGAAGCAGCTCCTGCCCTGAGGTAAGTTTTAGCCACTTAACTAAGAGTGGGGAATTTCCACAAGTCTTTTTTTTTTTTGGGGGGGGGGGGGGTCCGATCGTGGGGCCTGAACTCTGGGCCTGGGCACTGTCCCTCAGCTCTTCAGCTCAAGGCTAGCGCTCTACCACTTGAGCCACAGCGCCACTTCCGGCTTTTTTCTTTTTGCTTATGTGGTGCTGAGGAATCGAACCCAGGGCCTTGAGCATGCAAGGCAAGCGCTCTACCACTGAGCCACCTTCCCAGCCTTATAAGGCCTGCAAAATCATTTGGTCAAGATGACAGTCAGGTATGCATCTCAAATGGGTCTCATGGCTGTCCACAGCTGTCTGTCTATATTGATCATTGTTATGACCTGTTGAATGATATAAATATCCAAATGGCCCTTAGAAAAAAGTTGACATACCTGTTCCAGATCTATGCTCTAATGCAAATAAAGCCTAGCAACTAAGATTAAGAACTCAGAAATTCATTGAAATTTATGCCAGAATTAAATAAGTAGGCTAAAGGACTTTTTAGAGATGAGTAATGGAAAGGTATGGCCTATGAAAAAGAATCATCATTCCAGCCGGGTGCCAGTGGCTTATGCCTATAATCCTAGCTACTTAGGAGGCTGAGACATGAAGATCATGGTTTAAAGCCAGCCTGGGCAGGAAAGTCCAGGAGATTGTTATGTCCCTCTTTCTGAGTAGTTTACTGGAGATGTCACTGTGGCTCAAAGGGTAGAGCACTACCTTTGAACACAAAGAGGCTCAGGGACTGTGCCTAAGCACTGAGTTCAAATCCCAGGAATGCTCCCCCTCCCCCAAAACAGTCATCATTTAGGCACCTCAGCAATGGACTGGGTTGCACGAGTCTAGGATGAGCTAAGACAACCAGGTAGATCTATTACTCACATGGTCAGCAATGGTTCGGCCTAGCTTATCCATCCTGGATCCAGCCTCAGCAATTTTCTTGGCAGCACTGATGACATCTGATGTATTTTTGAGTGGTCCTTTACCTCTGAAAAGAAAAAACAGGATCTCTAAGATGTCTATGGGGGAAGGAAGCTGCCCTTTCTCTCTTCACAGCCAGCTGGGGCCGAATACTGCTTACCGGGTGAAGTCAGTCATCTCCATCATAATCATGCACATCTGCTTGGCTAGCACAATGATGTCGTTGCCACTGTCATCCCATTTGGACACTTCAGCATCCAGCTTGCTTTTTTCTTCCTGGAAACTGGCCACCTGTTCTGCAATCTTTGCTTTTTGCTCTTGGGGAAGCTGAGCCATGATTGCCTACAATCAAAAGGACAGAACACTCTTTACGTAAAGAGAATAATATGAAGTTCTCACAGTGCATTAGCCAAGGATATTTCTAACAGGCAATCTATGACATAGGTAGGATAATTCTTTAATAGGTTTTATTTTGCCTGAAGGACTATTTATTCTAATTTTCACAGAAGTCTATGGCAGCCTGGATTCTCCACCCACTTTCAAGAACAAGTTTCAGTGTGGAAGGGAACTGTGTGAAGGGTAGAAGGCTACATGCATGGAAGCTTCACAACCATATCTATGCAGAGACAGACCAGGTCGGCTTTAGAAGTTTCATCCCTTGCCTTCTTGGTAAAGAAAATGAGAGGAGAATGTGTGTAGTCCTTTTCCCTATGGGTTTTGAATGGACATTTCCAAAGCTTTAAAAGTACATCAGAAATAGTTTTAGAATCTAAATTTTAAACAAGAAAGACAAGCATTTACTAAGGGATATGTACTTTAGCACATTTAACTCCCACTGACCCAATTCAAGGCCTGGGAAAAGGGTCCACACTTTCAGCTCCTGACAGCAGGAATACACTCACTGTTTAAGATGGATTTCCAAGGAATGAAAAAATAGACTCCTTAGAAATATATTTTGGCATCCTTCTGAAAACTTAAATGCTATGAATTGAAGATTTAATGACTCAAATGAATGCCATGTTTTTCTTGAATGTACCACTGTTTGTTGTTTTTAATGCAAGGATAATTAAGCGGTTCATGCCCATGGAATCAGTGAGATGGCAAAGGCAGTAAAGTTTCACCATTGTTTTAACAAATATTACACTGAGTAAATCCTCAGCTTTTTTCTGACGCAGGGTTCTATCACAAACAAGAGCCCAGGAGGCCTACGTTCCTGTCCTGCTCCCAGCTGAAGAGCCTTTTGGAAAAATCTGCAACTGACCAGCAGATGCTACAACTTAACTTTGGTTAATGGTGCTGAGCACTTAACAGAATTGTCTTAGAAGAGGGCAAGCTTGACAGGGACAGGAAAGGTCGGCAGAAGAAATTAAAGTGCTTCCTTACCCGAGCACTCTGGCCAGCTATCAGTTGGTCATCCTCTGTTTGGACACTTGTCCTACTTCGGACATCAAAATCTTCTGTCTCAAAATCGGAGTCATCCAATTCTTCAGGAGTCTGCCATCAAGATAGAGATTATGAGTCAGAAACAGCGAGGCTTCAGCCATCCTCTCTAAGCCCCTTAACCAGAAGCATGGAGGCCCAGAATTTGATGCTCATCGTTCTGATCACTTATGGTTACTCAAAAATTGTTCATCTGTGTGTAAGCCCCACACTGGCACTTAAAAAGTACAAAGTTCAGCTGGATCACAAGTAAAAATTATAGGAAATACAGATTTAAGCCTTGCACTTACTAGGCAGGTGCTGTACAATTTGAGCCACTCTGCCAGTCCAAGGATTTCACTTTTTAAATGTACGTCACTAACACCTAAAGATAAAGGTCAGAGCTATCCTTGGAAACAAAGATCTTATGGGGCTGGCAGAACAGCTCAAGTAGTAAAGTGCCTGCCTAGTAAGTAAGTTCAAACACCAGGGGGAGGAGGTCTGTCTGAGGAGTGTTTTATACAGCATTAAGCAGACATGACTTCCCTATTTTATGATAAAAATTGCTTTCTCTTAGGGTGAGAAAGCCTGCAACAGAGTCTACGGGGTGGTTTTTAACATTTATCAATGGAAAGAGAAAGAATGCAGCATGTAAGAGTTTAGTAAATATCAAAGGGGCTTACTCATTCTAGGTTTTTGCTTTAATTATGAAATAGTATTCTTATTTGCACAAAGTACCAGCCTCTTGTGATTAACTGACTTGAAACCCAATGTCATCTTCTGGCAGTTGTCAGTAAAGGGGCAGTAGGAAGAACAGCTGGGGCTGGCTCTCAGCCTGGCTGGCTGTCCAGTGACAGGAGAGCAGTGAGGCAAGGCCCTCATCTGCCATAGGCCCTCAGCCAAGCCCAGGGGCCCGTTGTGAGGTTCAAATAAGTGGGCATGTGAGCAGCTCTCAAACTGCCAAGAGTGTCTTGGGTCCTGACATGTGCAAAGGCTGGGCCTATCCTAGATGAGATGATAGGAGAGTGGTGGTATGGAGGTGTCAAGGAGCCACAGAGAGCATGTTACTGTGAGACCATGGAATGTTGCTAATAGCGCAAAAGATGTTGCCACCACTGGTGATTTTAATGATACACTGGAACTAATGAGCACCTCTCCACTGCCCATCACAGGTCCGAAGATTGTGGTTCAAAGCCAGCCCGGGCAAGAAACTGTGAGACTCTTATCTCCAATAAACCACTAGAAAACCAGAAGTAGCGCTGTGGCTCAAGCAGTAGAGCTTGCCTTGAGCTGAAGAGCCCAGACCCAGAGTTCAAGCCCCATGACTGACCCCCCCCCCCAAGAAAAGCACACTACTTTCTTAAAAAAAATTCATTCACTCATTTAAGTACTTGTTAAACATGTACTTGTTAATAAGCACTGCTCTGAACCCCTGAAATGCCAAGTGACTGATGCAAAGATCGCTGCTCTCATACATATTCTGACATGCTAAAAAAGTGACCAATGCTATTAAAAAAAGAACCAGAAAGGGGTCTGAGTGGCAGTGTGGGGTGGGAATGTAAGGGGGAGGCACAGAGGAAGCAGGGGAGGAGTGCCTGCCTGAGCAAAGGGAGTAGCATAAAGGCTATACAAGAAAAACTTGGCTCATTATCTTCTGTCACAGGCTCAGGTTGGCCCTGAGTGACATGAGCACCTTTGGAGAGTTGGGGAGCAGTGACTGAAGCTTGGGGACCACTCTGGCTGCTCTGAGATAAAAAGACTACAGGGACTCAGGACTGGAAATATGGAGAACAGAGGTAATTGCCGGAAGCTTGGACCAAAGTGGGAATGTGTTTAGATGCCCTCAGGAAGGTAGAGCCAGTGAAACTTGCTAATTAAAGTATGCAATAGGAAGAAGTGGAAGGAGTCCAAGGTTTAGGACTTAGCAAGAGAAGATGAATTACTATCAACTGATACATGAATGAGGTTTTGAGTAGAGAAGTTGGGAGCTCAGCATGAACAAAGGCACTTGGCAAAATTGGATATAGATACATGAAACTTCAGAGTTAGCCTCTAGATATAATTATTTAAAAAAATCTATTTAAAATGTGGTATATATACAGTGTAATGGGTTTCACTCATCCATTAGGAGTGATATTTAAAAAGAAATGGGAAGACTTGAAAAAAATTATGAAGTCAGAGCCAGAGAGATCAAGGTTGCATGTTTTCCTTCATCTGTAGAGGTTAGAATAAGCTTACAAATTAGCTAAATATATTAGGTGGTATGCAAGTATATACAAATGTATTAACTGAAATGTGGTAGATTCAAGAACTCAAATAGTGTAATTCCTTAGAAAGGCAAAAATCAAGGTTCAACAAAATGAACAACAGGAAACTGGTACTTGAAAGGGTGAGGCAGGTCATGAGGAGAGGGGCAGGTAGACAAGAAGGGCTGGGAGATTGGAGTCAAGAACTCAGTGTAGGGCTGGGAAGGGCCACGCATGCCTGAGGTCCTGGGTTTGATTCCTCAGCACCACATAAAGCGGAAGCGGGGCTGTGACAAGGATGTCGATAGTGCTAGAAGACAGATGCACATGCAATGGAGGAATGAGCACTCTAAATATCGCTATCAATGGTGGAATTGGTAATAAGGCCAGACAGGGAAGTTGGGACAATGTGGGACAGCTGAAAAGAATAGGAACGTATGAGTCACCAATCCCAGGATCAGAGTTAGGATGGTTACAGGGCACAAGGGCCTAGGGACAGCCCATGTCAGCAACCTCTATCAGGGTGGATGTGCTGATCTATTCTGTGCTCCATGGGAAAGCAGACCTGACTGAGCCTGCATTTTGAAGGAATGTATAAGAAAATGAGACAGTCAAAGCAAAGGACAAAGGGCTGAGAGTGACACATGGAGGGGACCAACTAATTTAAGACAAAGGTGGACTCCAATGATGGTTAGGCCATTTCTATTAAGAGGAAATACTGGAAACAGATGATGATGGAGGTGGGGATACTGCAGTGCTGGAGCTACAGAGGTGAGGTGGAAGGAAACACAACATTAAGAAACATTAAGAAAGAGAGGCCCAGGGATTCGAAGGATGCTTTCTTTTGGGTGAGAGGGATAACACCCAGAGCCCTCATGCATGCTATGAACTCTACCACTGCCCTATATTTCTGTCAAGGATAATTCTTAAATTAAGGCAGTAGCAGGGTCAGAGAGCAGGAAAGTAAGGGGTTATCACCAAAGCCTTCCTGCTTGTGACAGGTACTTCTAGTTGAAGTCACTTCTTTTCCCTTGGTCCTATCACCATACTTGCTGGTCTGATTGAGTTAAGACCTTGGTCATTCTTCACCTACATTCAACACCAAACATGGCAAGAAACAGCCATTATGTGCTGAACACATCTAGTAAAAACATCAAAAGCCATCATTCTTAGATGAATGAGCATGCTAGAAGAGAATCCCCAGCTGCTTGCTCACCTTCAAGATGTGTTTCCACAGCCCTGCTGCTTTGACACCCCAATAGCTCTAACCTGACATCAACCCCATCTCTAATCTTCAGGCTTCTTTCTTCCTATTTCCATGTAACTGAAGCATAGAAATAGCTTTGATAATAATACAGAGCTAGGTGCACCATCACTAGTATGTGTGTCATGAGGACCCATTCACATGACCAAACCCAGTGAACACATGGGATCTTTAGCATAGCATCAAGGAAAAAGAAGTGCACTGCCGTCCTCTCCCACTCTTAACAAATCTAGGCAAGTCTGGGGCCTTTATGAACATGCCAAAAACCAATATACGACCTTGAGCAGCAATCTTGCCTCACCCAGGAGAAAAGCAGCCTTGCCTCAATGTTATACACTGCATAGAAAATGGATACAGCTGCCATAAAGAATGGCCTGTTCCCAGCTAATATCATGGCTAGTTCTGAAGGCTATCCTTACCTATAAGGACAGAATCCCACTAGAACTATTAACGTATAAATGAAAACACTGACTGGACTATTTTCAAGAGTATGGCAAAACACCACCAACACAGCACATAGACACTGCATTAACATGCCTGAACTGCAACAACTGCAAAGCCTGTATAAACCTGGGGTGTCCAGGAGGTCCTGGGAGAGAATATTCATAAGCTCTGCTCTCAAGATTCCAGAGCAGTGTGTAAAGGATCGACTGATGTGAGACCCAGACCTAGCACCCCAGGGATAGATAGTGGAGTAGCTGTCATTTTTGAAAGTCCTTTGTTCATGCCAACCCAGAGGGTAAACCAAGGGCTTTCCCACAGGTAGTGATAACTGCTTTCTTAGAGAAGATAGGGAATAGCTTAAACTGTTAACACTTAGTCATGAGCCAGGGAGCCTCACCAGCACTGCACAACCCCTAATCCTTATTCCAGATACACCAGGATCTGAAATCCTGCCTTCCACTCCAGGAAGGAGTACATCTGTGAACAGTGATTTCCACCTGCATTAAGGAAAGAGCCTCTTTCTGAATCAACTCGTTTCCCTTCTAATTCACACTGAAGACTCACACTATGGTGACTGCCCTAAATAAATTCATCAAGGCGAATTTGTGCTAGTGCTTTTTCTGGACTAAACTTTGTGCTCTGACTTAAAATAACAGTCATTTTAGACAACATTATTAAATCTATCTTATTCTAACCGCTTTTAGGGTCATGTTTTTTATATACTGACACCCCATCTGCTAAGTTTCAGAATGATGTATTGCTCAAGTTTAGCAAATGATAAGGAAGAAGCTGTTAAAATGTCTAGGATGCTGTTACTCACCCTTATCATCAACACTGCTTTCCTGATGTCCCGGATTCCATCATACACCAGGCGGGAAGCATCAATAAACTCATTCTCATCCATTGGCTGGGCAGGGTCTGAGCTGAGAGCTTCTACAGCTGCTTCTACTTGCTCAGTGAAACGGGGCATGACTGCAGAAACAAGGAGCAGGGAGGGTAACACGGGCAGACAGCATCCCCCCAACACCTCCCTGAATCCTTACAAGAGGAAAGGCTCATGATAAAGATGTAAACACTATTTTTTTTTTTTTTTGTCATGGGGCTTCAACTCTGGGCCTGGGTACTGTCCCACAGCACTACTTCTGGTTTTCTCAGTGGTTTATTGGAGATAAGAGTCTCACATACTTCCTGCCTGGGCTGGCTTTGAACCATGATCCTGAGATCTCAGCCTCCTGAGTAGTTGGATTATAGGCCTAAGACACCAGCGCCTGGTGTGAACACAATTCTTGAGTGCAGAAACTTCCTGTGCTCACAGGTGAGGAAAACTAAGGGCAGTATTTTTACAGATTTATCATCTTCCCTCTCACCAGACTACAACGTAGGGTTGCAAAGTTGAGAACTAACAATGACACTACCTTGAGGTCTTGCTACAGGCTCACCAATAGAGCATTTGGCTAGCATGCCTATGCAAGAGGCCTTGGGCTGGATCCCTAGCAGCAAAGGTAGGTTAAAAATAAGAGGGAGAATAGGATCCATCTTAAATTAGTATTTATTAACTAAGAGGAGATTTAATTCAGCAGTTCATCTTAAATATGTGTTCAGAATTAATCCCATACAAAGTGTTTGTGAGGCCTGACTTTAGCAGACCAATTTCATACAAGTATGACGTACTACCCAGAACTTCTAAGAAGAACAGAACTGGGTACTTCTGGTCTTCTCCTTCCTAACTACAGGTCATAGGGATTAAGGGAAAACACTAGGAAGGGAATGAGTCCTCATACCTGTGTTGGAGAGCAGCTTGGTGGCTTCCAGGACCTTCTCTGTGTAGACTCCTGGTTCATAGTTATCCATCTCTGAGGTGACAACATGAATGACCCGAGCTGCTCGACCTCTTATTGCACCAGCTGTGCGGTCTAGCCCATCCACATCCTTCTCTTGGAGAGCAATGACACACTTATTCACATCTTCCAAAATGTGATTCTCTAAAGAATAAACCAAAAGGTGAGTGAGGAAGGAGACCTTTCACTAACAGGTGGCCACTGACCCTGACAAATTACTGATTGTGTGTTTGGTGTCAACCACATAGCCACAAGTTTTACATGTGAGAGCTGGGGTAGGTCAGGAGGGAGGGCCACACCTGTAATCCTAACACTCGGGAAGCTGAGGTGGAACCATAGTAAGTTCCAGGCTATAAAAGGCTGTAGTGTGTGTGTGTGTGTGTGTGTAAGCACCAGGAAATAGGAACTGAAAGGGGTGGGGTAGAGTCCAGGGGAAAGGGGTAGATGGATAAATGAAGAGGAGAATGTTGGGAAGGATGGGTGAGAATGATGCTGGAGACGCAGTATATTCACACAAAATACTTTGTTGAATGGAAGATAGAACTCCTACCCTATTATTATTAAAGCCCTGCCCTCTTAGTTAACTACTCAGGACACATTCCTGAGCAAGCCTGTGACAGTATATTAGAAAACCATACCAGGTAGACTTCTAAATTTCAGATGAAAACACCACTTCTTCCTTAGAGAATAGTTTCATGTTTTCATTTGCTAGATAGAAACTGTCTAAACTCATTTCCATCAAGTCAGCCCTTTCTTAAACTCATACATTTGCATAAAGATTGAACACACTTTAAAAGTGTATCTTCCAAAGAATTTGATTTCTCTTTACTATTCTTCTGTTTTATGTCATACACCCTAAAGATAATGCCTGGATCCCACACAAAATGCTGCTGTGGAATCCCTTTTGTTCTGATTTGAAGAAAGCTGCACGAGGAACATTTGATTCTATTACATTTTACTTACTTGGCTGAAGGATTGAAAATCCCTTGAGACCAAGCCTGTAATATACTCAACCCAATCTCAAAAAACTAGCTTTAGAAATATAGTATCTATGGGGGGGTGGGGGGAGCTTTGCATTTTGATTTCAGAATTTGTTTGCTTAAAAGTGTGTTATGAAGGTGGAATGTTTTCTCTAAACCCATGAAAAAGAATAATTCAGCACTTCATTGGGAAAACAACAGAAGGCCAAGATTTCCCAAAAAAGCCATTGCTGCATTTTTGGCACCTACAAAAACGTGCTTGCAAATGTGTTTAAAAAAAAAAAAATCAGCACCTGCAATTTGGCAGTCTTGCAAACAACATGGCTTACACCCTCCTCCTTATCTCTGTCGGTAGTTTACAGATTGTCTCTTCTCCCAGTTTTCCAAGTAAAGCCAAAGCTACCAATCCCAAGGAGAACATGCAAAGACAGGTAGATATTGGTATGCAGAACACACTGTCAACCCTTATATAGGTCACTGCTGGAGACCATACTGTGCATATACTTAAGCCCTGCTTCTTTTTCAAGCCACATGGCCACCCTCCCACATTCTAGCCTGTGGTTCTCTTGGGTGCCATGGTAGTTTCAGCCCTTAAACCATTGAATCTGCCCATAGCCACTCTACTCAGGAAGCCTGGCACTTCCAGACAGAAGCCATACAGCCAAGAACAGAGACCTGGTAAATGGAGAATGCATTTAATGTCATTCAACTCTAAGGAGATAGGATTGAAATTTATTTCTTCTCCTTCCTTTTTTTTCCTTCCTTTCTTCCTTTTTTGTTTATGTGGTGCTGAGGAATCAAACCCAGGGCCTCATGCATGCAAGGCAAACGCTCTACCACTGAGCCATCTTCCCAGCCCGAAATTTATTTCTTGATAAAACACTGAATTGCATTTGACAGACATTTTCTATATGAATGTAATTTACTATGTCATTACTAGTTTATGTTTACATAATGAAATCAACTGTTTTTGTGAGGTGAATTATCCAGATTTATTTTTTCCAAGTTCATAATTAAATGGCTCTTAAATATTTCCTCTCTGTTTTCTATCTATGCTATGCATCACACAGTCAGTCTCTGGAGAAGTAGGCAGCTCAACAAGGACTTCTTTGGAAACAGAAGATGCTTTCCAAGAAAGGAAAAAAAATATTTTCAAAAACAACTAAAGGACTAGGGGTTGTGGCTCAAATGGTACAGCACCTGTCTAGCAACCTCACAGCTCTAAGTTTAAACCCCAGTGGGAAGGAAGAGCAAAAGCAAAATGGTGATATGTGCCTTTTCAGTTTTAAACAAATTAGCCCTACTGAGAGGGAAAGGGCTATAACTCATGCCCTACTGCTCAGAATATAGAGGTAACTTTTTCCTTTAAAAATTAAACCATAGCAAAGTGCCCAAACATGGATGTATTTGCACGTGGCTGAAACTCAGACTATAGTAACTATAAACATTCTTACATACTAATCTGGAAACCAGTTCATTACCTGAAACAGCTAAGAAGTCATCAATGGAAGTAATGTCATCAACAGCATCTGTGAGAACACGGACTTGTTTCTCCCACTGTTCTTTAAAAAGATCCATGTTTTCCTGGGCCAGTTTACTTTGTGGTTTTGCTGCTAAAGCCAATGCAGCATTGATAACCTGCAAAAAGTATTAAAGTTTATTGCTCACTTTTTTTTATAGACTGGCAGTGGCTTAGTGTTACACATATTTCACTAGTAAAAATGATATCACATAACATAATGGTATGTTAAAGCCCAAGTTGGGGGCGCAGGGGGTGGGGGGGGGAGAGAGAGAGAGACAGTGTGTGTGTGTGTGTCTTTGAGTTTTTTGCTCAAGGCTAGCACTCTTAACTCGAGCCACAGCACAGCTCTACTTCCAGGTTTTCAGTGGCTAATTGGAGATAAAAGAATCTCACGGACTTTTCTGCTGGCTTTAAATCTTGAGATCTCAGCCTTCTAAGACGCTAGAATGACAGGTGTGAGCCACCAGCGCCCAGTTCAAAGTAATCATTTATTTGGATAACATAGGCAATTATAAAACAAACTTTAAATTCTAATCATGCCACAGTTGACATTAATTTCCAAGATTTCTTTTCTCTTCATCATAAAAGTATAAGCGGGTCAAAAACTATAAACTAGGGGCTGGGAAGGTGGCTCAGTGGTGGAGCGCTTGCCTTGCATGCCTGAGGCCCTGGGTTCGATTCCTCAGCACCACATAAGCAAAAGAAAAAGAAAAAAAAAAGCCGGAAGTGGCAATGTGGCTCAAGTGGTAGAGAGCTAGCCTTGAGCTGAAGAGCTGAGGGACAGCGCCCAAGCCCAGAGTTCAGGCCCCACGACCGGACCAAAAAAAAAAAAAAAAAAACAACAACAAAAAACTATAAACTAGAATTCCATGCTAAATAAAATCAACTATCCTGCTTCTTTTAAATATTCTTACACATAAATATATATTAAAATATTAACTGCTTATTATTCCCCTTTAGAAGCATACTGTGTTAATCTCCTATTATAGGATACCCAAGATTGTTTCAGTTACTCATCACTATTTGTGATGAAACCTTTGACTTTTAAGTTTTAAGTTGAGATGGGGGGGTAATAAATTTATTAAACACATTTATTTTTGTTTTTTTAAATTTAGTTATGAAGGTGATGTACAGAGGGGTTAGTTACATAAGTGTAATATGCGTAAATGTACATATGTATGTTTCTTATCAAACATTGTTACACCTTCCCTCGTTTTTCTTCCACTTTCCTTCTCCCCAATCTACTCCCCCAAGTTGTAAAGTTCATTTCCAAAATGTTAGTCTTGTATCACTGTTGCATTGGTTCTCCCTTTGTCCTTTGCAAGTAATTGTCTATAAAAGTCTCTATTTCCAAATAGCAATGGAAGAAGTCAATTTATAGTTTTTCCATATTACATGTGCATTTAAATACATGTGGCAGATAAAATATATAGTGTTATAGGGTTAAGTAAACCAGTAAGAAGAATGCCAACATACCAATAGAAAAATAATTTGAGACCTAGAAGGCTGACCTAACTAAAGTGAAGCAGAAATGACTAGCGAACAACTGGGGAGGAGGGGAGGTTACTATTTCTGTTCTTCAAATTTGAAGAGTCAGGGGCTGGGAAGGTGGCTCAGTGGTAGAGTGCTTGTCTTGCATGCATGAGGCCCTGGGTTCAATTCCTCATCATCACATAAGCAGAAAAAGCCACAAGTGGTGCTGTGGCTCAAGTGCTTAAGGCTGAGGGACAGCGCCCAGGCCCAGAGTTCAGGCCCCATAACAAACTGGAGGCAGTCTCAAAGTGAATTTCTCCTACTTTTTGCCTAGCTGGGATAACAGGCATGTGCCACCAAGCTGGGTTGTTTATTGAGATGGGTTCTCATAAACATTTTTGGCCTGGGTTGGCCTTGAGTCACTATGCTCCTAATCTCTGCCTCCTGACACTACAGGCATGAGCCAACCAGGTCCACCATAGAAGGCAATCTTAAAATTCTATGGGCTAGTGTTTCCAATACAAAGTGGCTTAATGGCAAGCACACCATCTTTGTCTTACTAGTATTTTTGGGGGGGCGGGGCGGGGAGGGGGTACTAGTTAGGTAGGTAGGTAGGTGCTCTACTGTTTATTCCACAACCTCTGCCCTTTTGTTTCCGGGAATGATTTTGTTTTTACCCAGGATAGGCTAGACTTCTACCGAACTCTTATTTGGGTTTCCCATGTATACTGGAATGAAGGTGAGCACTAACTATCATGCTAGAGTTATTTTTTTTGTTTTTGTGTCAGTACTAGGGCTTGAACTGCTTTACCACTCAAGCTATGCCCCTACTTCCAGTTTTTTGCTGGCTAACTGAAGGTAAGTCTCTTAACCAGGCTATCTTTAAACTGAAACTCTCAGATCTTAGCCTTCTGAGTATCTAGGAGTGAGCCACCAGTACCTATCATGCCCAGCTTTTTATTGGTAGGAATAAGGTGTTGTGAAAATTTTGCCAAGGCTTGCCTCAAACTGTGACCCTCCCAATTTGCACCTCCTGAATAGCTGAGATTACAGGCATGCGCCACTGATACTGAGCTTTCTGATCTTAAGGGGGGGGGGAATCCAATCTTTCACTATTAACTATGTTGTCTATTGATTTTCCCCCTTTTTTTGAAACTTAAGACATTCTCTTTATTAGTTTGCAATCATGGAATTTATTATTACCTTATATTAGTTATACAGGTGGGGACTTCTCTGTTACAAATCAATGCTACATGACTGTATATATTCCAATTAATCTCATCCTCTCTCTCCCTTCCCACTTTCCAAAATAATTTCAACACATTTCATGGTTCCATTTTCATAGTCAGAATTTCTATCAATCACATTCATAGTGGCTATACTTGTTTAGAATTCCCACCAATGGTGTACAGTGTGCTTTTGATTTGCATTTTTTTATGGCTAAGGAAGTTGAACATTTCCCTATGTGTCTATTAGCCATTTCTATTTCTTCCTGTAGGAACAGTCAGTTTGCTTGTTTATTATTAACTGGGTTATTTGTTCTCTTGCTGTTTAGCTTTTTGAGTTCTTCATAAATTTAGCTGGTGACGACTTCTCTCCTTCTACTCTCTCTTGATTCTGCTAATTTTTAGAATACCGCACTGCCATCTCTCTTTTTTCTATGTTCTTTTTACTATGATCATTTCATCCATGAAACTGACGTCCATTTGCCAAATATTCATACATGTCCCACTCAGACCTGTTATTGTAACTCCCAAGTCATTTTTAACTATATACCCAAAGCTAAATGGTATATCTCAGATATTTCAAATAATTGAATACAAAACAATGTAAAAATAATGATGAAAGGGGTAAATTGATCAAGATGCATTGTACTCAGAAGTTGACATGCTGAATTGAAACCCCTCTGTATAACTACTTAAAGAAAACCACTAAGCCAGGCGCCAGCGGCTTAATACTTGCCAGGTGCTGGTGGCTCATACTTGTAATCCTAGCTACTCAGGAGGCTGAAATCTGAGGATCATGGTTCAAAGGCAGCCTAGGCAGGAAAGTCCATGAGACTCTTCTCTCCAATAAACCATTAGAAAACTGGAAGAGGCGCTGTGGCTTAAGCAGTAGAGTGCTAGCCTTGAGCTGAAGAGCGCAAGGGCAGCACCCAAGCCCAGAGTTCAAGCCCCATGACCGACAAAAAAAAAAAGAAAGAAAACCACTAATGATTTCCTGTACAAAACTATACTTTGTGGGGTATCCTATTAAATTCTTGATTATTCAAATTCAAATAAACACTACTGCTTCAGACAACAAGAGAATTAATTTACTTAGTCTAGCTCTATCCCTTCAAGTCTTCAAATCTGCAAGTATGGTTTAGACACTAACACTCACTTCTCCTATGTCCATTTTAATAGAAGAAGTCTAAGAGAAAGAAATGAGGGTTTCCAATAGCAAACTCAACCCTGCGCATATGGCCTAGTCACACATGGTTTACACACACCAGCATTTTCATTAGGCTCTACAGACTCTCTGTGTGATTTTTTGGTAGGCTTTAAGATCATTTATATAAATATTCTTGGTAGGTGTGATCAGCATATGTTACCATCTGTTTCTGCAGATATGTGGAAGCATTGTCACTTTTCAAGCATTTCAAAACCAAATGAAGAAACAAAGATATTAAAAGCAAAGATAAAGCAAGCCTGAGGAAAGAATGCTGAATCTTTAGATATCTGCTCTAAATTGATCTATGATTTGGTCATCCATAAACTTTATGGAGGTGTTGATTAAATCATTAAGTTTCTAGATAGCAATCAATCACTGGCAGATTTAATGACTGATTAAGCTGAGAAATGTTCCTCAGAAGATGAGGATTCATCATTGAACTAACCAATCTCACTAATATTAAGACAAATTTATTGGCAAAGTAACCTATCTTGAGTACTGGGGGTGTTTATATGAAAAAGCAAAGTACACGTATTACATATGTGTTCTGAGAATAGTGATAGAGGTAACACAAAAATTTCATTTCATTTTCTCTGTTCAGTTCCTCTAGCTCTTGCTCCTTTTTGTCTGTGATCACTAACATCTAGTAGTACATGCAGAGAAAGGTTAATCTAAGTCCTCAGAGTGTTCTCTAAGCATTCTCTACTTAAAAAAGATGGAAACTCAACCTCTTCCATTGAAATAACACCACTTAGACTGTTGCGAAATTTGCGAGTGGGCACTAAAGGTGTGACTCAAGTGGCAGAGCACCAGCTAAGCAAATTGACTGAGTACAAGGCCCTGAGCTCAAACTTAGTTTCCAGGGGAAGGGGGGAGGGGAGGGGGAGATATGTGAGTCTCAGTAAGCACTTCCTCCTGGGAAACACCACTGAGTACTCAAAAAAATGTTCCTTGTTGAGCTTTTTTTTTTCCCTTTTTTTTGGGGGGGGGTCCAGTCATGGGGCTGAACTCTGGGCCTGGGCGCTGTCCCTCAGCTCTTCTGCTCAAGGCTAGCGCTCTACCACTTGAGCCACAGCACCACTTCCAGCTTTTTTCTTTTTGCTTATGTGGTGCTGAGGAATCGAACCCAGGGCCTCGAGCATTCAAGGCAAGCGCTATACCACTGAGCCACCTTCCCAGCCCAACTATAGTTTTTTTTAAATTATTATTATTAAGGTCATGTACAGAGGGGTAGTCTTTTCCTAAGTCAGATAATGCGTACTCTTTGGGGGAAGAGGGGTAGTGTCTCCTGAGAGGCTTCTTAAACTACCTCTTTCAGGGGAAATTTGGTAATCTGGAAATCTAAAATAACAGTTAATATTGTGACTAAAAAGAGTGGTAAGTGTGAGCCCAGTGTAGTACTACAAACCTGTAATCCCAGAATTTGGGATGCTAGAGGATACACAATGAAACCTTATCACAAACAAAGCATCAGACAAACCCAAGAGTACCTGCATCTGAATTCAAAATACTTTGTCACACGTAGATACCAGAGAACCTAGCCAAGTATACATTTTATTGAGAGTGCTTTGGACAATTTGGTCCTGAGAATAAATTATTACATCTTGTTAACACTGATTGCTGCTGACTGCAGTTGAAGAACTTAAGACTCTGAAAATCTGTAAAGCCCTGAAAAAATTAGCCTTTAGGTTTACTAATTTTAGAAAGAGCCAAATAAAAGGAAAAGACTGTCAAAGTCACAAATGTTCTATATTTATTCCATAATAAATTACCTTTAAGTAAAATAATGTGAATTTTGTTGTTGGTCCCCCTCCTTTTCTGATGCTGTACCAGGGATTAAATTCAGGGCTTCATGCCGTCTCAGTTGGCTTTTTATTCATTCCCTCCCTCCTAACATTTTACTTACCTTACATTAGTGGAGTGGGAGGAGACGTCACTGTTGTATTTCCATACATGTTTATAATACAATCAATCTCACCCCATAAATCACTCCCTTCCCCAAAACATTTTAACAGGTTTTATTGTTTTCATAATTGTAAACAATCTATTTCAATCATACTCATCTTCTTTCATCCTTATTAACCAACCCCTTTCTCCTGCTATCACCCTCCTCCTTGCTACAAACCTGTTTCTGTTCTCCCATCCTCCACACCACTATTGATCCTAACAACTTTCATGCAGGTTATACTGTTTTCTCATGTACACACACACACACACACACACACACACAGCTGTTTTCTCATGTATACACACAAACACACACACAATTTCAAAATTATTCACTTTCCCTTCCTTCTTTCTTTTCTAAGTAGTTCCTTACGCACATTATATACACATCCACACTTATATACATACACACACACGTCCATTTTGAGATCTTCCTAACCATTACTCCCCAAATCACAGGGGAAAAAGTGAATAAAAAAAGATTAAGCCTCCAGAGCTATTTAATTTCCAGGGAAGACCACTGGTGATTTCACTAGGAGGAACAAGCATACTAAGAGTCTTAGTTGCCTAAGAAGGAGGAAAAGATAATGACAATCCAAACTGTAATTTAAAATTCATTTTATTATTATATTTTACTAATAAAATAGCAAGTCTGTGAACCTAAACTAAAAATGAGGAAAAATATAGAAGGAGACAGACTACTCATCAATCTAAAAGAGAAGATTGTTAGAAAAGGAGAATAAAGATGGAAGATGAAGCTAGAAAAAAATTTTTTTTATGAAGTGGTAAAATGAATCCACACGTCAGTAATGCCAGTGAAGCCCTCAAGTCTTTATTCTTCCCAGTTCTGTCACAAGTAACCTGAAGGCCACATGTACATTAACACCCACCACATCATAGCTGTCTGGGTAGCAATCAAACATTAGGATCTTGCCTTTATGGGGATAAGTTTTTCTACACTTCCTCTTATAATAAACTGATTTCCTTGGGGAGAAGGGAAATGTTCATGTGTTGTTTTGTTTCAATCCTGAACACAACAATTACACAACTGATTATGTTTTGTTTCCCTCCAAACTCCCCCCACTCCACTACTACTTGTAGTTCAGTGTGAAATACAAACTCATGCCAGGAAACTAAGCTAACAATTTTCTACAATTTTTTTCTTAGTCGTAATT